CTGCCGTTCGGCGTGGGCTCCTCTACCTCTTGATATCTCCCACCTTTTCTCCTCTCCTCAACAACAACTTCGTATACCCAACGCTCGAAGCGCCAATTCCACGACTGCCGGCCAGCCTCATTCCCATACCCTATACTACAGCTTTCCACAGCACCTTTCACAGCTCTCTCGCCTCTCAGAGATGGCTCTTCTTTCAGTCGAACAGCTGGCCGGTCCAGGCTACATAATTCTCAATGTCATGCGAGCCTTAAACATCATTGCCCTAGCCTCTGTCGTCGCCAGCAGCGTCGTCATGTTAGTCAAGACATTCATTGTCTCCAAGGTACGTACAAGCATCCTCAGTCGTTCCAAATCATGTCTAACCTTTCACCAGTTCTTCTTCTTCGATGCCACCAGCCACGTCGTTACAGGCCTCGTAGGATGTAAGTTAAGCGAGGAAACAATTCTTGAAACAGTCATCGATCTAACTCGCCTAAGTGTTCCTCATTGTCTCCGAATGCTCGCTCTTCCGCCGCTACTTTGCTCGAAACTGGCCCCTGCTCAGCCCGAGCCATGGCTTCGTCTCCCTGGGCTGCGCAATGATGGTGCTTGGATTGAACATGCTCGGAAACATGAACAAGGAAGCTACGAGCCAGAAGTCTCTTGGCCTTCCGTTTTGGCGACTGTTGGTAGCCTCGGGCTGTCTGGCGATCATCATTGGCTTCTTCAATATCGTTGCCGTAAGTGTCGGAATCTCGCACCACAAGTACCGCAAACCCTGAGCCTAACTTTTCTGCAGAGCTATATCTTCCGTGATAGATCTCGCAACATTACCGCTAGACGCGTACGATCTCACGGCGCTATCAGCCTCTCCGAACATGGCGATGTGGAGTCTTACGCAGCCACCGACTACACCCCGAAGAAGGAGTTCAGCGTCCGAACGCACCACACGGGTTCAAGCTCCTCGAGAAGCGGCACCACTCCCGTCCGCACAGGGACACCTCCCATCGACATGGGCTCCCCGCAACCTTTGACAGCCCAGCAACAAGAAGAAGAGTCTCGCTGGGCTCAATTCAACTTCAGCCCAATGCGCCACCTCCGCAACGCCCGCCAGTCAATTCTTCCCTCCTACCACAGCTCCTCTCCGCTCAAGTACATGTTCCACTCGCGCTCGTCCTCCACATACTCTCGTTCAACATCCGGCGAATCCAAGAAGCCGTGGGGCAGGAAGCGGCCCGAGAGCGAGGTCCCAGACATGCCGCTCAATATCTCCGCGCCGATGAACGTCAACCCGAACTTCGCGCACCTCGTGAAGCCGAATCTAGCGCACCACCCCAGCACGCGACGGCCGGAGGCTGAGGACGGCGTCAAGGAGTTCAAGTTCTAGTCGAGGACCTTGATCGGGCAGCGGACTTATATTTCTGATTCCTTTTGTATTCTTATGTGATACCACTCTCTTTTCTCTTATTGTTTAACACTTTATTTCTATTCTTGTATTCTCTGCGGCTCTCTAGATTGCGCTTAGAATGTTGGATGGCGAGCACGCTAAATTTAGGGACTTTCGTTTGGCGCTTGGGATGGAAAAATATGGGCGTGTGTTCGTTCGTTTCACGAAAGACCTGATGTCTGTTCACGAGATCGTAGCATTCTCTTGCGGATTGTGCAGATGTGTTTATGAGTACAGATACCACAGCAATGAATATGCGAGTACAAATATCAACGGAAATGGATCTGTTGTGGACTTTGTGAGGTATATTTTACAGATATATATACATGCTGTATACCGCAAAACTGGGTCTCGTCGCGTCTCTCTGTGTCCAACGCGCGCCTCGGGTGTCAAGCCATGACCCGGTCAATCATACATTTGGAGACTGTGTTCGCCATCGCTAGGTACACCAGATTGTCCTTGAGGGTTACGTGCAGGCCACGAAAGCCTCTTGACGCCTTTCCAGAGACCCACATCCTCTGGGACATCGCTCAGACCCTCCGCGCGAAGGTGACAACCAACTATTTTGCGACTCTACCATCTCCTGAAAACTACAACCACCTCTTAGAGTAATCTTACATCGTACCAAGCTCCAACCTCAGACCCTCTACTCCGCTAACGGGTCCTGGAACGGATCTATCGCATTCCCCTCCGGATCATACAACTCCATCTTCCTCCCATCCTCCAACGTCAGGCTCCACTCCTGCGTCACAAAATACCCTCCTCTGCCCTTCCTCCTACACCTCAGCCTGACCTCGCCCTGCCTCTTCGTCCCCTTGACCCAAAACCTGATATCGATGCGCCCATGCACCTGGTTGATCTCGCCCTTGATCCAGGGATATTTCGAGGCGAAGTAGATCTCGTCGCCGAGCTCGTCGCGCACGGCGGGGTTTGTGCGTAAAGCGTAGAGCGTGGAGGTCACGACGCTGGACTCGGTTTTCTGGTAGTTGAAGAAGGCGAACATGGAGATGGACATTATGAGGACGAAGAGCGGGAAGGTGCGTTGTACTTGTTTGGGGATGAAGGGTGGGATGCTGGAGGATTTCTTCGTTAGATGTGTCATGCTCGTAGTTGAAGTGTTAATGATCTCGTGACGTACGGTGGAAGTTCCCTATTCGGTAGCCGCTCGAGTAGAATCTCGCCTTCCTTTGGAGGAGGAATGAGAGGCTCCGGCGGCCATGATGTTATGCTGTGCGGTGTTTTCCAGGGTACAGTGGGTGGGGAGACGGGCTCGGTGGATGCGTGGCGCGCAGGAGGAATGCGGCGGAGACATTGTATGAGTGTACGGGAAGGGAGGCGTAGCGGACTTGAAGACACTCGTGGAGGAATCATCTTCGAAGAAGAAGGCGCAATTGAAGGTGCACAGACGCAAGCATGCTTGAAGCTCGAATGATCAGTTGATGATGCTTGGCGTAGGTGCTGCGTCGGCGTTCGGCTAGGATTGCTCCGCTGTGACAGCCATTACCTACCGGTTGAGCACTTAGAAACGCGTCTGCCGACTTCGATCGACTGCGTGAAGGTATCAGATTTCAGGAAGACGCGGTTCGCTTGCTGTTCCAACCTTGGAAGGTTGCGTTCGACACGCTGCGGCTTATGTGATTTTCAAACTTCCAAATTGGGCAAGTTTCTGGAAAGCGTAGATCTTCCTGTCGTATGTGATGAAGCATTTCCGCACTCTTCCACTCCAAGCTCAACATCTCGTAAATAACACCACAATTTGCAGGGCTACTCAGATGTTTGAAGCGGGTTATCTTCTCATATGCCTTGGAATGTAGTATTCCACTGCGATCCTGTTGGTAGGAAGGAGGCCACACATGTTGGACCCTTCCCACCTGAGATCGTCATGCCTTACCTAGGTAGGATGCGGACAACTCGTTTGATTGTCAGAGTACCAGACTAGATACTGACTCATTGGTGGCCCTTCTCCCCTCGATTGACTCGACTACTCAATGTCAGGAGCCACAGGCTACCCCGCATAACTCAAATTGTAGAGGTATAGTAGCCCTGGATGTACATTTCCTTACTCCATCTAAAGTAGACATGTACTTCCGCTACTTACATACATACATACGAGATGCGTTCCACTTCTACTGTCAATCCCAAGCGAGCTTGAAGAACTTCCTTACTGTCAGCTGTTTTCGACAGTTCAGACCGATGTAGGTCGCAGTTTCGATCAAGTAGTCTTCCATCAAAATTATCATCCTCATTTATAATTCGTGGGGTTTTTTGAGCCTCTGATTATAGATGGCGGACCAAAAGACCATCGGTGCCTTCACCGAAACCGTAACCTCCCTCCCGCCCAACAAACGTTACATCCTGACCCACGACTCTTCCGGGACATCTATCATCCACTCTTCACCATCCCAACTCTATCATGGCCGCGCCGGCGTAGGCGGCATGGCTCGTTCGTTCTCTACATCCAGTGTCCCAGCCGTGCTCCAGGACGATGCGGACGTGAAATCCTATCTTTCCGAAGAGGGGCCAACGAGTCACAAAGATACTTCTATCGTATCCACTAGTGGCAGTGGTACGGGGTCGAATCTGCTGGTGGTTGATATTGCTCCTGGCGGACAGAGTCAGATGCATAGAACCGTGTCGATCGATTATAGCATTTGCGTGATTGGGCATGTTCGCATGGAGTTGGACTGTGGCAAGTTCATTGATCTGTATCCCGGTGTGAGTATTATCTTCTCAATCCTTCCGGCTCAGGCGGATCTTCTCGATGCACCGGCGAGAATATTTAGGTTATCTGTTGTGAGCAATGAATCTTACTCGGAAACAGAAGATGGTAATGATAGCGGAACGCTGACGGCGTGTGTTTAGGATCATGTAATCCAAAGAGGCACCATGCACAAATGGTATAACGGCTCCCAGACGGAACCGGCACGTTTCGTGGCTGTTACATTACCATGCGAACCCTTCAAGATCCCTGGGACCGAAAAGATGCTGAAGGAAGAGCATGTTGAGGGAAGTGGGGCAACTCAGAGAGATGGGAGTAAGTTGTAGAACGGAATGTGAAAGGCGTTGCAGAAGACAGAACGATAGGCCTTTTCCCAGTACCTAGGGTACCCTACATGATGCATAAGGAGTGACAAAGTTCGTCTTCTTACATGAGTTTTATGTAGATGAATGACAGAATCTATTTTCCCTCTAGTAAGAGGATAGTCTCGATGTGGTTGTCACTGAAGTGTTGAGAGTCCTAACAGAAAGCCAAAGTCCCAGATTTGCATCCTGCCTTGGGCCGCTCAAATATCTCAACAGAGAATTCAACATACGTACTCAGCATGCCAATCTCCACGTTCCACTATCCCCGCTCGCAAAATGTGGTAAGCCAGCAAAGGCTCGGTACGGCCACCAATCGCTAGCCCCTGAGTCCGCCCCCACGCTACGCTCCACCACAGATCTTCACCGCTTGTTTCATATTGCTGTTCCTTACACCGTCTAGGATGGAGTGTTGATTCTGTGTACGCTTTCTTATTCTCAAAATGATATGTATCAAATTTTGATTAAATTCACCACAAATCATCAAACTCAATCCTCCGTGGCGCAATTGGCTAGCGCGTCTGACTGTTAGACTCCCTGTGGAGCCTGGAATCAGGAGGTTCGTGGTTCGAGCCCACGCGGGGGAGATTGTGTTCTTCTTTTGCTTTTGTGGGTGTCTTTGTGGCCCTTGGAGCGTGGTCGAGGCGTGGTCGAGGCTCGGGCGGGGAATGCGAGTTTTTGCAACAACGAACTCTTTTTTGCCTTTTTCATGTCTGCTATGGAATGAGAGCGAGCGCGAGTATGTTTTGTCTTCATTAAAAGGACATCCGGGTTGTGGGTGGATGGTGAATGGGTATCTTGGGAACGGATGGCTATGGGTGGGCTCAACCCAAAACTCCGTCTTTTTTTCGCCCTTGGAATCATTATTCTGGCTTCCGCACATGATTATCACATGGATGTCGAGTAGTTTCCCCATCCTACAGTATTTGGAAGATGCTTCAATGCGCTGTGCTTTGCTAACTCTAAAGTGCTCCCACACTGGTAACTTTCTAGGCGACTTCCTATCGGATGGGAATATCGCTTGATACCCCCGTGATATTCCTTCCCTTGGGACTAAGTGAAAATATCCATAAGACTACGAAGAAGCTGGTGATCTCTTAGGGAATTTCGAGCGCCTTCACCCAACGGCGATGTACGCCAAACACGTAGGAATATAGTATGTAACGAAGCTTAATCAAAACTTTTGGCTGCGGACCATGCTGCAGTACTGTTACTAAGTGCTCCTCACTAAAACCTAGCTCCTTCGTAGTATCTGGTTCGGTAGGGCTGTGGTGATCTGAACTTCTGAGGTACTGCTTGGGGAGACACGGACGGTATGGCTGAGTGTCGAATTGTTCCTCCCTCGTGGCGTCTCAACATGTAAGAGTCGGATCTTGAGCCAGGGGGTCAACCCGGTTCTTCATTACGTCTCTCGGACCTCTTGGGGTACTATCAAACCTAGGACCGTCTGCCCATCCTGAGGGAGTATCCATGTGGAGTCCTTCTCCCAAGCACGATCACATTTTATGGCAGATTAAACATATTCGTGTCTCACCAGTAAGTTCATTCAATTGCTACTAGCGACTACGAAAGCACCCATACAGCCCTCGTTGCTCGTCCCAATAACCTTTTCCTAGACGCACCAACTCCAGCAAGCAGAAAGGGGAATCCTACACATAAACAGTACCAGGAGATAAAGACGGAGATCTTGCAGCAAGTGGCAGTGCTCTACTATCAGCCATCGAGCTTGGCTGCAGTGTCGGCGACTTCGCTGGCAGTCTTCGCAGGATCAGCATCCGTATCTGTAGTGGCATCAGCAGCACCTGCTCCGTCGGCGTTGCCTACGAGTCTCCGGACGACTTCGACAGTGCCATCGGGACTTCCGGGCTCGGCGGCGAGCACTTTGCCCTCCTTGTCGATCACAAAGACGCCGCGCGTGGCACTCTTTGCACCCTGTAAGCCAATTGCAGCGAGGAGTGTCCGGGAGGTGTCGCAGAGGAGAGGATATGGGAGGTTCTGCTTGGTTTTGAACGTGGTGTTGCTCTTGGGACTGTCGTTTGAGAGTCCATAGATGTCAAAGCCAGTGGCCGTGAGGGGCGTGTACGAGTCGCGGAAGAAGCACGCTTGCTTGGTACCTATCAGACGACATGTCAGCGTCGCACTGGCAAACGCGCCCAGGGGTTTCGCTCACATCCGGGCGTAGAGGCCTTGGGATAGGTGAATAAGACAACACCGCTCTTGCTCTGCTCAACAAGCTTCGCGAGACTGGTCTTGGTGCCCTCGTGGGTTTCAAACTCGCCGCCGAAACCAGCTAGGTCAACAGTGTCGCCGGCTTTCGGCGCACCTGCAGGCGCGCTGGGAGTTGCTTTCTCGCCATTTTGGGCTTTGCCGGTCACGGTCTCTTTGACTGCTTCGACTTTCTCAGCGACTACGGCTTTCGCCTTGCCTACTTTGCTGGCTTTAGGCTTCTCGGCCTTCGGGGCAGCCTGCTTTTTGGCAGGGCGGACGGGTGCTGGGGGCGGCGTCTTGCGCTTGCGAAGCTCAACCATTGTGAGTTGTCGGGAACGAGTTGTCGCAAAGCTGCAAAAGGAACGGAATCAGCGTCGCGAAGGGGACACGGACAACTTCAGGCGTGATAGTGCTCAGGAACAGCTCGGGAAAGCTGAGGGGAAGGAGGTCTGGGGTCGAACGGAGATGCGCTCGATGCACACGATGTTGGCGCGCTTACCTGACCTTGTCTTGGTGACAACTGCGGTATCACCTGTGTGATAGCGTCTGGAGGCACAGTAACAGCGTCTGCGCCGGCAAGAGGAGGGATGGGAGCGAGATATCAAGTCACAGCGGCTCTGATGGATTCTGACCGAGCGGTCCATCCAACCTCCTCTTGGCGGGCATCCATATTGACATTAGGCAAATTGGTTGCGTCCCTGGGGAGCGGCTCTGATTCAGCTGCCCCGGACACTCGCAACCCGCGTGCGCGCTGATTGGAAGGGCTGGGGTGAGGAGATGGTGAACATGCACCGAAGCCGTGATGGCGTTCGCCTGCGACCCATGCCGGAGGCGGAAAGGTTTCCTGCCCAACCTCACTGACTGTTCACCACCACATCGCTCGCGTGAACTTGTCGCGCAACTCAGATAAGACTCTCCGCATGCTTCCGCGTTGCTTCGGCGCGGTTTTGACTGCTCTCAGGGAACTCCTGGGGCCGCGGTGTCCTCCAGGGTTGTTTCCCGCCAGTTCGGCGGTGTGTCATCCAACATGCGCTTGTCGTCCAGACCTCCCAATTACCGGGACTCACCCTCGAGACGGCGTACCTTTGCACTCGTATTGGTCATGGACGCAGAATTGAAAGCTCATGAAATACACACCGATAGCATAACGTGCTGAGTCTGCCCAGTTCAATCTTCAGCCTGACCAATAGTCTCGGAGTTTCTCGCTGGCCTCTGTCGAGTGCGCGAGACAGTACGATTACGTATAGGTCACGCTTTCACTCTTAGACATTCTTATCTACATTTCCAGCTGATTGTTTCTCATCACTACTCTCGAATTCGCGATAAGTTGCGCATTCTTCGGTTCCCCCATCAGGCTCTATCTGTAACCAAATTGTTGAGCAACCTTCTAGCTCCTCGATTGACAGCCAGTAAGATGATATTGTTTGTAGTGTATCTAGGATAACAAGATAATCACCCCTTTTGAGCTTGCGAATCGTAGCGAACCAGGAAGTTGTTCGACGCCCTGCGACGGGTGGGATCTCTCATCCTAGCACGCTTGACCTTAAATGGTCATTGCCATGATACCGGGAACCACCTGAACCTATGACAGTTCGAAATACCCAGAAGCTGCGCATATCAGAGCAATTTATCTATGAAATCGATATCATTGGTTGTGCGCAGGCTTTCTTGGCATTTCCATGCTCAATATCACAATTCTTGGGCCTCAACTACGGTACTCGTGTCATGTATCTATCGTCACCACCGTTTCCAAACTGGCCACGCTTATCTACCCAACAATGATGCGTTATCTAGCGCGAATGTGCTCGCAGGAGCACACGACATCTGTCTTCGCCAGCTGCACTTTCTTCATCCACCACTTGCCCGTACCTCAGAAATCCTCACCTCGACAAACAGCCAGAGACACGCATTCGTTCCCTGTACCTTAGGTCTCATTCCAATCACAACATGTCTATCTTCAATATACGAGACAAAAGAGAGGGTAGTTCTTCAAGCGCTGAGAGCGAAACGCCTTCATCGCAACTACCTGCTGTGAGCCACATCACTAAGACCGACCACGCCGAACCGTCGAGCGAGCCGAAAAATGTCACGGTTGTCGAATCCGAGCGACGGCTCACTCAGGGATCCGACCCCGAGGGACAAGTAAGGTCTCCTGACGTGTACCCTGTGCGCGATACTGACTGGCTCCAGGTGTCCGAAAGACAAGCTGATGCTTTTGGAAACGAAGAAGGTGCGGCGATTCATTACAAGACGATGGACTGGTGGCATGTATATCTTCCATGAGGATCATTGATATACCACTGACAGTATGTCATTCGCAGGCATTGTGGAGTCTGTATGTATCCTGGCCTTGTTCTGATAGTGAATTATGCACACTAACAAGACTTCAGTGATGATCGCAGAGAACGTCTCCCTCGGCGTTCTCGCTCTACCTCAGGCGGTAGCTTGGCTTGGACTCGTACCTGGACTTCTCCTCATCTTCTTCCTTGGCATTATTGCAGGATACACGGGTTTCATCATCGGTCAATTCAAGGAAGCCTTCCCGCAAGTCGTCTCTTTCGCAGACTGTGGCGAGTTGATCGCTGGTCGAATCGGGAAAGAGATCATGGCCGTGTCCCAAGTTTTGATCTTGATCTTCATTATGGCCGCCCACGTCCTCAGTTTTGCCGTGGCCATGAACGTGATGACAGACCACAGCATGTGTACTGTTGCTTTCGCAGCCCTGGGCTTGATCATATGCTTTGTGCTAGGCCTTCCACGCACTCTGAAGGGTGTTTCTTATCTATCGATCTTCTGTGAGTGGAATCTTTGCTTGTTGAGAAACTAGGTAGCAAGTACTGACGGACCGTAGCATGCATATCTGTTTTCGTAGCAGTCACTGTTACTATGATCGCCATCGCTATCTCTAAGCCCGATATGGGTAACTTTGTCGCAGTGCATCCAGACATGCCACTTGTCACGGGGCTGACACCAGTAATGAACATCATTCTGGCCTACTGTAAGCGCTTCTTCGAGCACAAACCCAAAAGAAATTTACTTAGGGTATACAGCTGGACACGTAGGGTTCTTTAGTTTCGCGGCTGAGCTTAAGAATCCGCGGGACTATACCAAAGCCCTTGTCTTTATGCAAACACTAGCAGTGACCTTCTACATGGTCATTGGGGCTGTGATCTACTACTACGCCGGAGAACACGTTGCTTCCCCAGCGCTTGGTTCGGCCTCGCCAACCGTGCGTAAGATCGCTTTCGGGATCGCCCTGCCAACTATCGTCGTGGCCGGAGTCATCAACGGCAGTGTAGCCTGCAAGTACATTTACATTAGAATCTGGTACGGCACCGACGTAATTCACCAGAAGAGCTTCAAGAGTATCGGGAGCTGG